AAGAGAAATTTGATTTCTCTTTCGACTTTGGATGATCAAGGGTATAAATTTCACTCCGAGAATGGAATACTTAAAGTGTGTAAAGGCTCCATGGTACTCATGAAGAGTAAACTACATTCTAAATTGTATCATCTTCAGGCCAGTGTAGTTGAAGGGGAAGCTGCTGTAGCTTCTGGCAAAAGTGATCTGAATCAGTCTCAGTTGTGGCACTTGCGACCTGGCCATATGAGTGATAATGGATTGTCTTTATTGAGTAAGCAGAATTTGCTGAATAGGTAGAAAAATCAAGTTTTGAAGTTTTATGAGCATTGTGTGTTTGGTAAACATACAAGGGTAAAGTTCATCAAGAAGGCCAAGCACAAGACCAGAGACAAGTTAGATTATATACACTCTGACTTGTGGGGTCCAAAGAGTTCCCTCCAAGAGTGGTGCCAGGTATTTTATGACTTTGATTGATGATTACTCAAGGATGGTGTGGGTGTATTTTCTGAAAACAAAAGATGAGGCATTTTCGACATTTGTTAAATGGAAGACGATGGTTGAGAGGCAGGCGGAAAGAAAAGTTAAGCGTTTCCGAACTGACAATGAGTTGGAATTTTGTAATTCTGAGTTCAATAATTTCTGCAGCAGGGAGGGCATAGTGAGACACCGCACTTGTGGCGGAACACCACAACAAAATGGTGTTGCAGAACGTATTAATAGAACGCTTTGTGATAGGGCACGAAGCATGCTTTCACACTCATGTGTTAGCAAAGATTTTTGGGCTGAAGCAATCAGTACAGCTTGTTATTTGGTCAACAGATCTCCATCCACAGCTATTCGGTTCAAAACTCCTTTTGAGGTATGGTTCGGTTCGCCTGCTGATTATTCAAATTTAAGGATATTTGGTTGTCCTGCTTATGCTCATGTGAGGGATGGAAAATTTGAGCCGAGGGCAAAGAAGTACATATTTCTAGGGTATGCAACTGGAGTGAAAGGTTATAGGTTGTGGTGCACAGATCAAAGGACTCCAAGGCTAATTATCAATAGAGATGTAACATTCAATGAATCTGCCTCACTAGGCAGTGGGAGAAGGCAATAGCAGAAACAAATCGTGATGTCAGTGACCGCATAGAGCTAGAAATTGAATCTCCACTAGCTCATCCCAGTAGTTCTAAAGTAGAGGAAGTGGAGGAGGTGCAAAATATTGATCAAGATGATAATGTTGATGCATCTGCGCAACAATAACCATATAGCATTGCAATGGGCAGAGAGAAGAGGGTGATCAACCGACCGCAAAGGTTTGCAAACGTAGTTGATGGGAATCTTCTTGGATATACGAATCCTGTGGGATTTGCTTTGACAGTTGCAGAAACCGTTGATGCGTTTGAGTGTTATAGCTATCCAGAAGCTATTCCGAGTATAGAAGCAAATCGACGGATTAGTGCTATGGCTAAAAAGATTGAGTCTCTTAACAAGTTTAGGTGTTGCCTAGACTTGGTTGATGTGTGCGGTAATGGATAGAGCCCTTGCGAGGGCTGAGGGCAAGGTAGAGAGACGTTGTTTCTGTTGATGAAGAGAATTCAAGCCAAGGGGAAGATTTGTAATTTTGTGGCTTGAATTATTTCCTTGTATTTTTAGGAAACCCATAGTCCCTATAGGTTTAGGAAAACCCATTGTCCTAATAGATTTGGGAAAGAAAAACCTATAGTCCTTGTCAAATTGGGAAACCTTTCTCTTATATGTTTGGGACATTTTGGGATCTATATATAGGGGTTGTAGTTAGGGATTCTAAAGATTGTATTGTACTTTTCTTCTCATTCATAGTGAAAAACTCTCTCTGCTTTTGCCCCGAGGATTAGGCTTAGCCGAACCTCGTTAAATCCTTGTGTTGATTTTTCTTCTCTATTTGCTTTGTGTGTGATTGTGTGTTAGTTAACCCACGATATTCCGCAACAGATTTGTACCAAGTACTGGGTTCGGTCGAACTCGTAACTGAAGCGCTGGCTCCGCCCCTGTATTGAGGAGACCTCCCATCCTTAAAGCACCGACGCGGGACTCTTCACAATCCCTCACGAGCCTGAACAATTTAATATGGGGTCCACTATCAGAAAACAAGAATTGAGATGGGTCCTACTCTAATATCACGTTAAATAAGTTTTGAATCTAACTCAACTCAAAAATTAGCTCGAACTGAGGATTACTCAAGTCATATTAACTACTCATCCCTTAAAGCAGTACTGATGTGAGACTCTTAACGATTAAGAGTGAGAATTGTGAACATGAAATACGGCTGACACATGATTGATTTTACATAATGCCCTGTTAAATTCTCACTTGCTGATAATTTTCATGTCTTTTGTCCGCGTGCAGGCTTTTTCTTTTTTTCCTTCTTTGTCTAAATATATAGCTAGGGACGGAGCCAGAATGCGTGATATGGGTTTGGGCGAAGCCAGTAGCTATGGTTCAAACTTTATATTTATCTTAAGAAATCAATTAAATATGTACAAATTATCAACTTAGAATCCAGTAACTTAAACGAATTCCAAACCTAGAAACTTCAAATCCTGATTCAACCTCTATATATAGCATATGAGAAAAATTGTGTTCTATTAAGACAAGCTATTTTTAACTGTTGTATGGAATCACTGACATGCTAGTTTCGATGATCAATCTTCTCAGCATAACTGTTGAAGATCCTTTGCTTGTTTTTCTAGCATTATTAGCCATCACATTTCAATTCCCTAAAGTTCGAACTAAAATAAGAAAAAAAAGGCAAAAAGCAAGAAAGAGAGAGGAATGAAGTATCAAGCCTGATTCTCTCCATCACGCCCTTCAACCGGACCGAAGATACTCTTAACATGATATGATATTGTCTCTTTTGGGCCAAGCCCGTACTGTTAAAACGTCTCACACTATTAAGAAATCTCTATACAATGTATGTAGGATCCTAATCTTTTTAGGTACCAATGTGCGATTTTATTCCACAACTAATAATTTTTCCCTGGAACTAAGTTCCACATGGTCCATTACCACGATCCACGAGCTAATTTCTGAATCCACTAGCTAATTTTTGAGATTCACTGTATGTCATCTACATCGTTAGAGTATTATGGCAATTGAAGCACGCAACTAGCTTCTTCTTGTTTGTGTGTGTCTCTGAGCTCTTAAGGGAAAGTAAACCGAACCCCACGCCATCATTCTGTCATTGTGATGTTGTCCGCTTTGGCCAAGTTCGCACTATTAACATATTTCAATCTCAAAGTGCGACTCGTAAGACAACAGCTACCATTCTCAGCGGCCTTACAATAACATTACACTATTGCGTAGTACCAACCTTTATTTATTCTTTCTGGTTCCCATAAAATTAAACAAACTATAAATAGTTATATAAAATCAATGTTCAATACATGACTTAGGTAGTATAATAGCAGTAGCAGCATCTTTTCATTGAATTGGATGTGCAAATGTCAAATGTTCTCGATGTGATCAAAAAGTGACCCTATATTACACCAAGGATTTAGTCAACCCTATAGTGAGACTGATCTTTGACTAAGACTAAGATCCCTCAATAAAGCAAATTATTTAAGAAGATGAAAATAGGAAAAAAGAAAATACAGCAAATAATAGCTGGAACTACATGTAACTTAGATGTTGTAGATTTTAGATCTGACCAACAGTCAACTCTAAAATAGCATTATAAATATATACGCTTATTTACTAATAAAAAATACAGCTAGTTAGTATGACTTAAACCTTGAGAAACAAATAAAGCAATAGGTGTGAGGTGGAGATGTTATTTCTCTAAAAAACAAAAACACAATTTAAATTATTAAAGTGAAAAAGAACCAAAAATACGCGAGGATTTTGGTCCAGTGGTAAGAGTATAATATATGATGCGTGTGCGAGGTGCATGTCGCAAGTTCAAACCTTGTCACACACAAAAGTTTGATATTTAAGCAAAGAAGGATAAAGATACAGACTCATTATTCATCGAGTTTCGAGCCATACGCCACATGTCTTTTAGGGATTTTTCGATTATCAAAAGAAATATATAAAACAAACGGGCCCCACATCCAATTCATGCAATATCAAGCTCTTTGATACTTCACTATGCAAAAGGTCTATTTTGAAGTTACAACTTTACTACATGTAGTAGTTATCAGCCAAGAAATAACTTCAAAGAAAACATAAGAAAGCACACATCAATCACAATAGATTTGCATATCTTGTTTTACTGTCAATATGATAAGGTATTAGGATCTGATATATAGTGTAAAATCAACCTTTTAAGAGTCAACCAAACAAAAGTAAAAAAAACCCATCAATCACAATAGATATTGTCCATGAAAGGTGACTCAATAAACCATGAAATATTTTCAATCACATAAGACGGTGACCTATAAGTCACGGGTTCGAGCAATGATAAAGTTTTCTGTGTGATCTATAGGTCACGTGTTCGAGCAGTAGAATAGCAAATAATACTTGCGTTAGGGTAAGCTGTCAACATTAGAAGGTACGATTTTTTTCCGGACCTTGCGTGAATACAGAATACTTTGTGTACAGGACCGTTAAATTTGGCTAAAAGAGCTTTGGAAGAATAGAAAAGGCAGCAGTAAACAAAATCTAGATTTACCTCTTCTGGTAAAAATGTGAGTACGTATTGCTGCATCAAAAAGGTTGCAAATTTTGCTATTTGTGAACAACAGCTAACACTTTTAAGAAATGCCAAAAATTGCAAACTGATCTCTGAACAATCACAAAAGGTGTAAATTATTGTTTCTTGATTTCTATAAGATTTCAATCTTCGAAGACACTGATAGCTACAAGTAGATATTACTTTTGATTCTGTAAGCAGAAAAAAGGGCTCTTTTTAGAGAATAAGCTGGATACGTCCTATATTCATATTTAATTTCAAGGTTTTAAACACAAGATTTAAGTTATCTACACAAGCAAGCAAAAAATTTTGAATAGTATATTTCGTTAGGGTAAAGAATTTTTTATACTATCAGGTCATCCAAAGAATATTTTGTAAATAAAACCTTCTTAAAATATGAGATTTATAATCTTAAAAATAAAATAAGTTTTACCGACGTTTCTGTGACCCGGAGTCTTCGTATGGGAAGTCTCCCTCTATGAACGTGAACTATGGAGGAGGATGGATTTGATGTAGGAGTAGAGTGGAATCTGAAGCAGGGTATCAGGTTCAGATGACCTCAAACTGGATAGAGCAGGATTGGTGGAACATGTGGTCGTCTCAAAATAGAAAGAAGGGCAGACGTCCCTACATTGTTCCAAAAGGAACTTAAGAGAAAAGAATAGGACTGAAAAAAAGGTCCGCTCTTGTAGAAGAGCTACAGAGACAGATACGGATTCAATCCGAGCTAAGTTCATAAGTAGACAATAAATAAATGTGACCTGATGGTGTAAAATTTACTTACGCTGATAGTGTACATAACTTAAACTTGAAGATTTTGTACAACCAGTTCATCTTAACTTACGATAGCAGATTGGTTACCATTTTTATCACATTACTAATTAATATATAGGAGTACAAAGTTATTTATCTATAACTACCAAACAAGTGACTTGATGGTATAAATATTGAATATTTTTCTTTATCTCCCCCCCCCCCCCCCCACCACCCCACACACACCCAACCCTACCCACAAGCTTTCTTCTTCCTATCTTTGTCAACAAGGGAAAGGACAATGGGTTAGATGCCATTTGTTTCCTAATTCTTGAATTAACACTAGTTTCATTATTGGCTTGAATTATTGAGTTTAGAAATAATTATTTAGAGTTGAGTGAATTTGTTTCTAAAACAAAATGTAGCAAGAAAAAAAAAAAAACATGAAAACTAAGATGGTATATATGATGTAAGCATTAAGAAAAAAATCTCACTATAAAATGAACTATGAATTTCATCAAAATCTCAGCTTTATATATACATCATGATTCTCTTGATCATTTTTAGGCAAAAGACAATAGCTAGCTAGCCATTTTTAAAGTACCAAAATACCCACGGTTTTGCCCAATCAATTCACCACAAAAAAGAACTATATCATCACTATAAGTTTGAGAAAAACGTGGGTATTTTGGATAATAAAAAGAAAAAAAGACAAAAAAAATAAAAAATCAAGAACCTAAAAATTTAAGAGAGAAAATTGATCTCTACTTGTTATGAAGAGGATCTGGACAACTTGGTACCCTTCTTTTGCTGTCTTGTAATAAAGTCCCATTTCCATTTCTCGTACTGTTGTTGAGATCAGAGAAATACTTTTGAAATAGCTCCGTTTGATTCTTGTTGTTGTTGGAATTTTGCTCTACTTCTGCCACTGTATTTTCAGGAAATATCCGTATTGCCCCAACGAAAAATTGTCCGCTATGAACCAAAACCGAGATAATCACGAGCAGAAGAAACACAAGAGAAGAAGAATAATACATGGTTTTTTGGGTTCTAATATTTCTGCCGGAAAATGACATGGCCAGTTGGGAAAAAACACCCACATAAAGAAGAAATAACCAAATGTACAAAATTTGTTTGGTTTTTCTGAATTTTGAGCCTTTAGGGCAGAATGGTTTTTCTTTATCTCTCAATATTCTCTCTTTTTTATGTTGAAAATAAGAGGAGTGTTGTGTTTAAGAGTGTTATTTTCAACTACTCAAGTATGAGTTGACGGCTTAGTGTTTGTATACATAAAGAAAGAGAGACACAGAAACAAAGAAAGAAAATGGTGTGGGGGAGAGGAAAGGAGGGGA